ACCCATTCATGGATTACATTTTTATTGACCTTTTCAAACAAACTTTTTTGTAGTAATTTTGAAACTCGACATTTCTTCTTGTTCTAATTTTCCCTGTAAAGTTTTAATAATATTCGTCGGATTCTATCGAGATCAGTTCTACATTTTGTAAAGATAAAATGAATGCATATTTTTTCGCATTTGATGCCAATAATGACAGTTTATTATTTATGCATTTGTAAGGAATTTTTAATACTACGAAATTTCTGCCAACTAAAGTTTATTTCATTTGGTGGAAGTTACAAAACTATAACTCAAAGATCTGTCTCAGTCGGATTACTTTCTGCTATTGCATAAAAACTATTATAGAAGGGAATTGCAATGTCTCTCGATAAATTGTTTGCGTGTCTTTCAATAATTTTTTAGATTCTTTTGTCAAAATTTAATCGCTTGGATTCATTTTATTAATAATAGCGATAGCAGAGAAAATACAATCCTAATGCCCCGATAACGGGAAGAGTTCGTCCTGATATTTTGAAACACGATAGCTCATTGGTCAATTTAGGATTTCCGATCAATTATGTCAACGTCTCTTGTGATTGGTCAATATAGTAATTGATTGATAGCGGTATATGGCGCCGTATTTTACAGATTAAACTTGTTTTAGATGACTTAGACTGAGTCGGCTCATTTGATATTACTATCTTAATATAGAATAACACAGACGTGATATTGAATGAGTTCTATTTATTTTTGTAAATGAATTAAGCGCATCTCAATTTCAAGAAATATTTCATTTTCTGATATCGCTACATGACTCATAATGCATTATGCTAGTACGGTATATATTGTGAATAACGTCATATTTAAGATGGAAACTAATATTTCAGCAATGATGTAATAAGAAATTTCAATATTGCCCCCCCCCCTCTCATCTTTTACTTTTATCATGGCCTTGACGAAAAACATCGAAACAAAAAAGTATCAAGATTCTTTGTATTGTCGTAGTGTTGACTTTTCGGTGTACAAATAACCCACGCCATGTTGACGAATGCATGGAAATATGCCATACGCATTCTCTTTGATATAACCGTTGCGTTTCACGCATGAGTAATCATTTTTTCAGAGTTATGAAACTCTGAAAAAAGGTAATGTCTAAATCAAGCGAGTCAGTGATGTAAAACCATCAATTACAATGTTTTTGTCGATACAGGTATTCACTTTGTTTATGTTAGTGACTTTGATGATTATTTACATTGCATTGCAAACTTTGTGTCGATGATAATTTACATCACCCAAGAAATGGTGACGAGAATATTACATCAATCAAATTTATGATATTATGGTGATCAAATACGCATTAATGTTGAAAGTTAAATAATTAACGGACATAATTGCAAAATAATACTTCGAGTTATTTTGGTAAAAGACGAAAATTGATAATAATCTTAGCAAAAATAGAGAATTTGGTGTATTTAGGACAGGAAAGTATCTAGATGAAACATTTGAGACATATTATGTTTTTGGCAGGTGTAAAATATGTAGTTTTATGATTATAAAATATACTATTGGTTGACCACAAAAAACAAGACTGCTTTAAAACATTTAAGAGAATGATTTATGAATTTGCAATGACTATCAAATAATAATAAAAACAAAAATGGCGTCCAAGTAAATGTGTGTTGATATTATACTGTATATTGAATATAGCTAACACAAAGCACATCACCACGAACAGGTGTGGTGTTTACTTCTGATAACAAAATACTCGGAGACAAATTTATTTCCCAGCAACCACGCAAATCGCCTTCACCAACACAAATATGACAAAAGACTGCTTTAGCTAGCGACTAATTTCCTTCAAAGCATTGCCTATTATAAATTACACTACGCTGTAGCAAATCCGTTACAGTGGATTTCTAATGCCGTCATTTTTATGTTACTTTTCTTTGTAGTTTCCAACTGACAGTGATATTTTAGTCCTATAATAATAATATATAAATTATTATTCAATTTATTACACTATCCCGTTATATCACTATGTCCAATTCGCTTAGAAAAAAATAAATTAACACTGAATAAGTCATTCCGAGCATTGGTGGATTTACGGATATTGCAAACCGTTCTATTACATAATAATTAAAAAAAAACCAACGTATTATGTCATAATAATAAGCCTAGAGTATTAAATTGGAGAATATCACTAACAATTTATTATACAGCTGATATAATTAATATACACCTTTTGCTGGCACCATTTTTATTTTGTCTAATCTGTAAAAGTTGTTTGATAATATAATTCCATTTTAATTTTTAATACAGATGAATAAAATAATGAAACCAATTGAATAGAAGGTGTAAGTTCATAATATAGTCTATAGCCACATGAAAATCTAACATACCAGTGGAAATGGAAAATATTAAATCCAAAAAGATAATTTAAAATATATAATTTTCAATCTACAATTTTAAAAATAAGAAGTAACTCACTTGAGATGAACAAGAAGAAACAAAAGTAAGAATTATTCACGTGACTAAATACAACGCTCATCAAATCCATTCATTTCGTTTTGTTATAAAAATGTCAAAATTGAAGCGACTAATAAAGAGACGAATCTGTTCGACCTATTATTAACAGGGTTACTGTTCTGTTTGTAGAATTGGTATTAATATAATCTCATTTTTAGTTTACATAAGATAGCTGAGAACACAATGTGGTCATACTACCCCCTCGACACAACCACCCAGTGCATGACAAGTCAATATTGATAGAGTTGCTGTATCTATAAATACTAAGCAAATTTATCTGTTGCATGTTAGTACACACTTTCTATTCTCTTAAAGGACAACTTAACACATAATTTACCATATAGTAAATATTGTCCGCGGTATTGTTAGTTCATCCCGGGAGACATTTTATTTGTGTTGATAAATCGTTGAAGCGTAGAAAATTAAAACAAAAATCTATAAAATGAGATAGAATCTAATGAATAACTTTTCATTGTATTCTGTTATTTATATTTTTTCATGTCTAATTTGGAAGTACTTCAATGTTATATTATTTGTGATAATTTAGTTAAAGGACTTTTGTTATTGTATATTGATGAATAACCCGTCTGCCTGTTCATTAACCATAAACAAAATATAGAACACTTCGCGGAGCAACTGTAAATGTTCAATTAGGAATCAAATTCGGTAGTGACTTAATGTTTTGTTGGCACCTGTTGTATGACAGTCTATCTATTAACTGAAACGATAAAAAATACCTTTTAGAGGAGAGCCATTATAATTTTATTATAAACACGCACTCCAGCTGACTTATCAAACCTCTAATTATTTTCAGGCAATTAATTACGTCAATTAGTTTTTACCTATTTTCAGAATGTAGTCTTTGATGAAAATTACTATATGCTGATCTAATAAATTACAGTAGAACAGATTATACTTTTATATTGTAAACAAATCAAACGATAAATATTTTTTCTGCCAGTTTCCATTCAACAGCTCAAATGAAAGCAAATATGTACCTGACAATAAGATCGATTTTCTTTTTTAAAAAGGCATAAAAAAGCAACCGACATTATGCATGTAAACCGGAAGTAAACATCGTGTCAAATGAATGGAATCTGCAAAACTTTCCCGACTTTAATCACTGATTTACATCTGGTAATGCTATTCTTTAATAATCTAAAGTATTTGAAAGCTAAATGTCTGCAATGTTAAGACAAGGGAATAAAGTCAATTTTCTGTTTTTCTATCTTTGGTTCTAATATAGTTGATATTGTGTGGTGGTCTCTTGGCTGCAGAAATCAAAGGCGACTAAAGAGATATAAAGACATGATATATCAACCTACAGATGGCGCTGTCGATTGTTAATCTCTATCTTGTCGGTATTAAGATGAGAAAATCTGCCAACTTGAAATCCTTGTTATGATTATCTGACCCCGAGTTAGGGAGACTAGCAAACATTTCTAAAAGGGCTGGCCATTGTGAACTTTAACATAGCCCTTCTTTCTGCCCGTAAATGTGGTAGTGTTGACATTGTCGGAGCAAAGTAAACACCGGAGAACAAACGATGAAAGAGGAGGATATAAGCGACATATTAATAGATGCTTCTCAAACGAAATTGGGGTTTCGCTTCTAATCCCCAGTGTTGTAGTTCTAAACGCCCAACTATAGACGAGCAGTACTTTAATATCTCTCGAAGTAGAAAAGTTATTAATTTCGCCATTCGATTTCCACCATCTCCCCATTAAGCTCTCCTCGTAAATTTATTTGTTTTCTCGAAAGCGAAATTATTTGAAAAAGTGAGATAATATTGACATTTTCATAGGTCATTTATAATGTTTGACTATAAATTTGGTTAATTATTGTACTTATGCACAAAATTTAATTAAAAACTATAGAATTTATAGAATTCATTGAAATGTAAATGTCGTAGCCCTGTGAAGGCCTAAGAATAGAAAGATAATCTTTCTATGAAAATTTGGATATGAATTAAAACAATATAAATGTATCTTTTGTATTATAAGCAAAATGGCTGATCGCTGGCAGCTATAAAGTGAGGTGTAAAATTTTCTTTATTAAACAAACATGGAGGACGCGACAATTCTGTTCGCACGTTATTTACACCAGCAATAAAACAGAATTAAGAATTAGTTATTCCCACCGAGGTCTTTTCTGGACGGATGGAGTGTTGCCTGGCATCCCACACTTACTGCCAATTGCTACCGATTGCTTAATTATCTGCTGGGGCAAAAGCTGACAAACCACAAACCGATTGGTATTCTATTAAAATCAATCTGGCTGTTATTTAACAACAGAACATAGGAAGATTTAAGTTTCTAATATTCAATGACAAAAGTGTAATAAGTTGCGCAATATAATTTGTGTGGAGACCATCACCATGACCATGAGGAATTCTCAGAGTTGTCAAACTACATATGTATCCGGAAATAGAATAATGTTCGTACCAAAATTTGTAATCTTCGTTTTATAAGGTGGGTTAGGAGTCTACTTACCATGTGATTAATTGCTTGCGTCAAATGGGGACCTTCTGCACATCTCAACAGTATTAACTGGACATCCAAGTGATCACTTACGCAGTATCGTACCTGAAATGTAAACAAAAACTTCATATACCAATACAATAAATTAGCCCCGGGATCGGGTTTGCGGAACATTTCGAAAACGACAGGGATCACATTCGTGATATCAAACTTGAAATTAAAATCGAAAGGATAGAACAATCTAAGGGATTGGAGTTTCGAAACAGTTTGAAAACGCTATGTGGTCGAGATCGTTGAATGCCGTAACTATTTACCGACAGTAATACATTGTATAACGACAATAAAGATCATCTTTTGTTTATCAAAGTCTTTATTGTAATTTATAAAATAGCAACATGGTATCTGAACGAGTAGTAAACCCGTCATTAAAAAACTCAATCAAATTAAATGAAGTCAGTTTTACAATCTGTTTGTAATTTACTCGCCTCATCACATCAACATATTAACCGATCTAAATAATGATTTCATCAATTTACCCTTGCGTCCAATACAACATAAAATCTATTCAAATGTCTAAATAGATTGAACAAACGCAGAATAATGGCCGTCATTCATATCTTTCTGGCCGACAAACACAACAATTTCCCGCAAATAATTGGTAGGTTGATGACATCTCGACGACCAATATGATAGAACAAATAGGAGGTTCTGGGAACATAAATACAAAGTTTCGTTAAAATCCAATTACCCATCATTCAGGGCTCGGTGTCATAAACCACTAAATTACAAACGATGGCATAAAATAAGCGCCGTGACCCTTAAATTGACGTTAAATTAGGCGCTTTGTGTTCTGAAAGTCATTTTCAAAATCAGTCGTTGACAATTTTTTGTCACCAAAGGCGCAGAGAGTATGACGAGAAAAGAGTGAGTTAAAAAGTGACGTGTCGAAGAATAGCGGGTGATATGTTTTAATCTCACTCTCTTAATAAAAGCATTTGGTAATAACTCTTTTCCTTTCGAGAAATGAGGCGTAAATTATTAGCTTAATATTACCAGTTAATTTGGTGCTTACAACAAAACATTTGCGGACAATTGTTTCAAATCTTCACCAGACGATATCCTGTCTGTCGCGCGCGCTCGTGCAGTAAAAGCAGACGATTTGGCAGAAGGTAGTTTAAATCCTTCATTTCCATTAAAATGACGGACAGAGAGTTGAAAGCAAAGAGACTATAGGTCTTTTTTCTGTGAAGAAGACAAGCATATTTAAATTTCATTATGGCAGAGCTGGTAAACTTTGGATACGAATTTAAAAGAAAGTTTTGTCAAACCGGTGAATACGATTATGCAGAAAATGATCCCCAAAGACGAAAAAGAAAATCGACCGCGTTTGTGTGAAGTTTATTTGAAAGAGTGAGGTATTGAAAAATTATTTGCAGCTAACGAATTTATAATGAGAGAGTTGACTGTTATCAAATTGTTGACACATTCAATAGCAACAATATGGCACTCTGAAAACTATTTACGTTCGGCCATTCATTCGCATATTCTTATTGAACTAACTCACTATTTGCAAGGAACGATATCTTTTTGAGACATTTGGCCTAGGGTCAAATCGTCTTGAAGACTATGTCAATCTAGAAACAAAGAAAATGTCTGGAAAAGTCTTGGGGATTGAGTAGAAAAATTGGGCATATGGGGTCCTGTCCTAGGCACAGGCGGCACAATTTGGGCGGATGAATAATAGAGTAAAAGGGCGTGCGTGACTACGCATATATCACTGAGTTTAGAAGAAGTCGACTGGATAATGAGGTCTGAATTGGCTGCCGCGTCTAGAATTTAAACATTAGAATAGATTTTGATTGTCGTTTGAGTAAAGATTGGGTTGAAAAAGGTATAGGAGAATAACACGGGCTTTAGTTTACTTATTGGTTGTAATATTACTAGTTTATTGTTGTACCTGTAAATTACTGCCTTGTAGCACACCAATCAATTTTGCATGACAAATCCAAAGCAAATATAGCGAATTTGAAAGGGGAACGAGGTAACACAAAACGAATTATTTGCTTTGGGTATTAGAGCTCATTTGATCCTATTTAAAAGCGATGTAAAACTACAATGTGTTTTATTTGGGTTAGACATAACCTATTTCAATTAATAACCTTTTTGTGTTCTAGTTATACAGTAATTATCGCTTACAATAATTAAATATTGGATTATGGGTGATATTCTATTATAATCAATAATTATATAAATCATAAGTATTGCACTGTTATTTACGGAAAGGGAGCCACGGTGGGTAAGATGCTGGCTCACTAACCTGGGGGTCGCGTGTTCGATCCCTGTTTTGGCCGAGAAAGTTCATCGGGATTTTCCGACGTGGTGCAGGACGGAGGGCCTGACAAGGACAGCTTTCTAGTCGTTCGGATGGTACGTGGCGTGCACGTAAAAGACCCCGTGTCAGTTGGAATTCGATATAAGAGGAGACCGTAGTGCCGCTACCCGGGCAAAATTTCCCTCATAGCATACTGTATGGCGTATGCCCGTCTTCATTAGCCAAGTATAATATCAGAATAGTAGGACGTTAAACCCCATTTCATTTTATTTCATTTATTTACGGAAATAATAAAGTGCAATAAGCGGTATCAGGTTCAAAGGAATTTAAAACGATTGCTAATACAGATACTATTAAGATTAGTAAATATAATTTCTGTTACGATAAATTTAATAAAATTAGCACGAAAAGAAATAAATTAAGTGAGGAATGCCACGGAAAATTAAGCTTTTTACCATTCACTTTTCAAATTCAAATATATGGATCGGATGGAACGGAACATACATCGTCTCGTCTCGGTATGAAATATAAACACTTATGGATTATTATAAATAACAATATATACCAACAAAGCATCATGACCAATCTTTAGCACCAATTTTATGATGCCAAGTATAGATTTCATAATGGTGAGGTAACAACTGGACGAAGTGACAAGCGATGGTATATAATTTATAAGAGGTTGCTAACAGATCTTATCAGTATCATAAATAGTCTAAATACAGTTTTATATCATTGATAAACCCAGACATGTTCATATTTTATTGAGCCTAACGCACGTCAATAGTTCGGCAAGTTGCGTCATAAGATGACGTTTACTGCGTTCATTACCAATAATTAACATTAGAAGCACCTTCTAACATAACTACATATCATAACTATACTATAATTTAAAAGCCACTAAAGGGTAACATATGTAACAGATTCATGACTGGACATTTTTATAACCTTCTCTTCGTCCATCGAGGAGTGTGGGCTTTAATGATGCTCCTTGCTAACTCTCAGACGCATTTCATCCCCGTAACATTTCCCGACCAATGTGCTTGAAAACTGTAGAAAGCTTTCATACGACAATTAAAATCCGACATTTGACAGTCAATGATGTCATAGCCATGAAGCCATGTTTACTTTTGGCCAGGTAGAGGCTGAAAATAAGACTAATTTGAAACGCCAAGTCTGCCAATGCCCTTCTTATCGCGTGTCAAAGTCTTGAAAATGCGACTAACCCAGCTCATAAACCAGACCTTTTTTTATTATAGTGAAGATTATCTGTATAAAGGAGAGGTGAGAGATGAAAAAGTCTTTTATGGAGATTAGCTGTATTATTAATATAATAATTTGTATAGTGTGCGACCAGGACCGTGAAGCAGTTTCTATCCATTAATGAAGGCCGATTGTGGGCGGGGTTATTAGCATTACATCAACATTTAGCAAATAATTAAATACATGTATAGCTTTATTACAATTTATCACCTGTTGAGGCCATATTATGCTATAATATCAAAAAGTGACGTACATATTGTTTTAATAGCTCTCGACCTTCCACCACAGATTATAATGGTGGTTTTCAAAAGATATTTTGTTCAAATTGATTATTTTAATAGCTTTGACCACCCACCACAGTAATGGGGGCATTATTTTAGGGAGTTTCAACAGATTTTGTTAAAATCGGTTGTTTTGAGCTTTCTCGGTAGTCTACAACTGAGACACGACAAAGTAAAATATATTATTATTAAAAGATTATTGAGATCGATTTGCGAAGAGTTTTGATATCAAACGTTAAGAGAATGTCTTAGCATAAATCTTGACCTAATAGACAAACTATGGTATCATCCAGAGGCTCATGATTCTACACGCGTTATCAAATTTAAGTCCTCGATTACATCAGAAAAATTAGGTATTATAATATAACTAATGCTAATATACCCTACAATTTACCCATGACACGTTCGCTTATCTGTTACCATGGCTACACCATCGGTCATTGATAATGTTGCCTCGTTGTGATATCGAAGTATGTGTAACTTAATTTATCACCTGGCAAATGTATACTTCTAGAAACGTAAAAACTTTGCTAGATATTAATACTTTACTACCCACGATAATAATAACCATTTAATCTTGTTTTGTTGTTCATTTAAAAATCTGCCAATGTTACATTATTTCGTGAGAAATCAAATCATTTATCAGCCCTGTTTAATTTATCTGATGACTAAAGCGCTTTTAATTTGCACCGAACTACATCAGTCAAATTATAGAACATAATAATTAGGAAGCGTGAAATTGTAACTGCTTATTGACAAGGATGGTCTTAAATATAGCATTTTTAAATTGGTGTTTGATAAAATAAAATAGCACTTTATTCTCAACTCTTCCCTATTCTGTACAATATCTTTTATTTCAAGGGTGGTTTCTAATATTATTCGTTCATAGGTGTCATGATCATTAGCCCATACATCAAACTCTAACACACCTTTCTTTAGAAAACTAATGGCCTACTTAATATCTCCCCACCTGTTTAATTAGTCTTTTGCGAATTTTGCCTCATTCTATGACTGGGTAAAACTAGGTGACAACCCAAGGTTTAATATTGTATATACTGTACATCTTTAGAAAACCTTTCTACAATTTAAATGTTTTGGGTTAAATCTAATTTTATATTAGGGATATCTAGGTTTGAACAACATGGTTTAAAGTAAGGATATAGTTTTGACCGGTATAATATCACTGAATTCAGATACAAAGTAGGCCCTACCTACCTCCACCCCCAGGA